TTTATGGACTTGATGAATGGAGTGTTCAGACCGTATAAAGATTCCTTTCTTATTGTCTTCATAGATGATATATTGATATAATTACGCACTAAGGAGGAATACGAGCAGCATTTGAGGATTGTTCTTGGGATTCTAAAGGAGAAGAAGCTTTATGCAAAGTTTTCAAAGTGTGAGTTTTGGCTTAGTTCGGTAGCATTCTTGGGACATGTAGTGTCCAAGGAGGGTATCATGGTGGATCCTAAGAAGATTGAGGCGGTTAGAGATTGGGTCAGACCTACTTCAGTTACTGAGATTCGGAGTTTCTTGGGCCTTGCAGGTTATTATCGACGATTTTTTGAGGGTTTCTCGTCCATTGCATCTCCATTAACTAGATTGACACAGAAGGAGGTGACTTTTCAGTGGTCTGACGAATATGAGGTTAGTTTCCAAAAGCTCAAGACTTTATTGACTACTGCTCCGATTTTGACCCTACCCGTGGAGGGAGAGGGTTTTGTCGTATATTGTGATGCTTCTCGGGTTGGTCGTGGTTGTGTGTTGATGCAGAAGGGAAGGGTGATAGCTTATGCTTCGAGGCAGTTAAAAGTTCATGAGAAGAACTACCCTATTCATGATTTAGAGTTGGCGGCTGTGGTGTTTGCATTAAAGATTTAGAGGCATTATCTTTATGGTGTGCATTGTGAGGTGTTCACGGATCATCGTAGTCTCCAGTATATATTCAATCAGAGGGATCTAAATTTGAGGTAGAGGAGATGGTTGGAGTTGCTCAAAGACTACGATATGACTATTCTTTATCACCCAGGCAAAGCAAATGTTGTAGCAGATGCCTTGAGTCAGAAGGCGGTAAGTATGGGTAGCCTAGCCATGTTACAGGTTGGCGAGCGTCCCTTATCTAGGGATGTCCAATCCCTGGCCAATAGCTTTGTGAGACTTGATATTTCAGAATCTGGTGGTGTTGGCTTATATGGAGGCTAGGTCATCCTTGTTGGAGAAGATTCGAGCTCAACAGTTTGATGATGGTGATTTATGTAAGATTAAGGACAAGGTTTTAAAAGGAGAAGCCAAGGCTGCAATTCTTGATAGTGAGGGAGTTTTGAGGATTAAGGGTCGTATGTGTGTTCCTCGTACAGGTGATTTGACTAGATTGATCATGGAGGAGGCTCATAGTTCGAGGTACGCTATTCATTCGGGGGCTACTAAGATGTATCGTGACTTGAAGCAACACTATTGGTCATGTCGTATGAAGAGGGACATAGTAGATTTTGTATCTCGATATTTGAATTGTCAGCAAGTGAAGTATGAACACCAAAAGCCTGGAGGTATGACTCAGAGGATGCCCATACCTGAGTGGAAGTGGGAGCGCATTGCTATGGACTTTGTGGTAGGGTTGCCATGTACCTTGGGTAAGTTTGATGCTATATGGGTCATCGTAGATTGACTGACTAAGTCTGCACACTTTGTCCCAGTTCAGACTACCTATAACTCAGAGAAGTTAGCCAAGATCTATATTCAAGAGATAGTTCGTTTGCATGGGGTTCCTATATCTACTATTTCAGATCGTGGCACCCAATTTACATCTCATTTCTGGCGGTCTATGTAGAAAGAGTTGGGCACTCGGGTGGATCTTAGTACAGCCTTTCACCCTCAGACTGATGGTCAATCTGAGCGGACTATTCAGGTTCTTGAGGATATGTTGCGGGCGTGTGTTATTGACTTTGGTGGTCAGTGGGACCAGTTCTTGCCTCTAGCGCAATAATAGTTATCACTCGAGCATTGAGATGGCACCATTTGAGGCTCTGTATGGCAGGAGATGTCGATCTCCAATTGGCTGGTTTGATGCATTTGAGGTTAGACCATGGGGTACAGATTTGTTGAGGGAGTCCTTGGACAAGGTCAAGTTGATCCAAGATAGACTTCTCATGGCTCAGAGTAGGCAAAAGAGTTATGCAGATCAAAAGATTCGTGATTTAGAGTTTATGGTTGGAGAGAGGGTTTTATTGAAGGTTTCACCCATGAAGGGTGTGATGAGGTTTGGAAAGAAGGGAAAGTTGAGCCCAAGGTATATTGGTCCTTTCAAGATTATTGAGCGTATTGGTGAGGTGGCGTATCAGTTGGCTTTGCCACCTGGTTTGTCTGGTGTTCATCCTGTATTTCATATTTCCATGCTTAAGAAGTATCATCTGGGTGGTGATCATGTGATTCAATGGGATTCAGTGTTACTTGATCAGAATTTGACTTTTGAGGAAGAGCCGATCACCATTTTGAATAGGCAAATTCGGAAGCTAAGGTCCAAGGAGATTGCTTCAATAAAGGTTCAGTGGAAGCATCGTCCAGTGAAGGAGGCTACATGGGAGACAGAGTCAGACATGAGGAGTAAATATCCTCATCTTTTTAAGCATTCAGGTTAGCTCTTTTCTTTTCCCGTTCGAGGACGAACTTTTGTTTAAGTGGTAGGTGATGTAACGACCCGCTAGGTCGTTTTGAGAACTAGGACTAGTTTGACTCCTTTTGAAAATTTAAAGGGTATTTTTAAACTATTCGAAACTAAGAATATTTTAGTTGATAAAAATTTTAGTGAAGAATTAATATAGTTAATAGTTAGTGGGTCATATCCATAATTCATTTAATACCTTTTTACTTGACCCATTAATTGATTTAGGTTAGTGGGGTTAGTTTATTTATTTTACTTAGTTAACATTAGAAGGGCAGAAAACAAAAGAGGTAGAAACTGATTTTTGGGCAGCGTAGATTACATAACAAAGAGGAACGAAATAAAATATTGAAGGTAAAAGTTCCTTAACCGATCTATATTCTGCATAAGCATGCATTAGTGGTAAAAATTGTTGGCGTGAAGAATCTGTTGATATCGTATTGTTTGTTGTAACTTGTTATTAGAAGAGATATAACTTTAGTAAAATTATTAGATTGAATTGAATGGATGTTAGTTATTAAGAATTCTTAATGATTGCCATATATAGGAATATTTTAAAGTTGAAATTTATATATAGTCGTAGTTGCAGGATTTGGAAAAAAAAGGGGTCGTTGGTCTATAATTTCCTCGTAGTCATTATTATTAGTATATTTTTTTTGGTATTAAAATAGTGGGGATGGGAATGGAATCTCAAGTCAATCATTGGGCAATCATGCCAATGATTGGCAATTAAGAGAAGAAGCCTTGGGGGAAAAAAAAGAGGGAATTGGCGTTGCAGGCAGAATTGAGTTTTAGGAAGAAAAAAAAAGGGTCACGTTGGAGCAGTGGTTCGTCTTGTTTTTAAATTAGAGGGGGGTTGATTCTTATTTTATACATACATAAAATTAAGATATTAATTTGATATATTGAGATAGGTAATTAATTATTTGGTGTATATGATATAATTTAACATTGAATTCAAGGGTATTGGGAGATGTAAAGTTAAGTTCTTGGCTTGAAATTTAGTAAGTACGAAAAATTTGGCATACTAATATATATCAAGATTTGGAGTTTGGTTGAAAATATGAGTGAGTTTTAGCGTCTATGATAGACATATAATAATTTGAATGTCTACAAAAATTGGTTACTTACGAATATTGCAAAATTGGTAGATTAGGAACGTTCCGAAACCTTGCGAAAAGGAAAGGAAAAATCTTAAAAGATTCGTGGCACAAGTTCGGCATCTAAGGTATGTTAAGACTTTTTAGACTTGTTGAAGGACGTTTTCCTAATTAAAGATTAAAAATGAAAATAGACAAAGGGGGTATGGGCGAAAGATGGGGGTCTCGTATCAATGGTGTGACGGACATTGGTACGAGTACTGGTGTTATAAAACGGAAAGTTACTAGTATGGAATGTGGATTGTAATTTGAGAATTTGCCAAAGCATATGGGCATTAGCTAATATATTATTAACTTGAAATTTTGGTGTGATTGTGTTTTCTTTATTACACCCGTATAATTGTGATAATTGAGGTGGTTATGTATCATGTTGATATTGATTGAGTGAGATGCATCATTATCCCCTTATATTGAAATAATATTGTATACATGCATTGACATGAGATTGAGTATGGTGAGATGTTAAGATTGTAATTTGGGCACGTGGAGACCGTCCGTGCGGAAATTATTTGTTATTATGATGGTGCGTTGAGATCGTCCGCACAGACACGTGGAGATCGTCTGTGTAGGTATATGGAACTCGTGAGTCCCCCATGGGTCATGAACTCTCGATGTATTTCCGAGGAGTATCATGTATATATGGTTGAGTGAGTACTGGGTATTCTGAGAAATATCATTACATGGTATCATATTGCATTGCATTTCATCCCATCATTCATTCTTGATGATTATAGGTTTCGTTTGGTGTTTGGAAAATACTTAGTGTTGATTTCCTTTATTGATGAAACTTAAATAGTAAGTGTAATATATATATATATATATATACATACATACATACTTGTATAATCTAAGAATTTATTTTCTTATATAACTCCCGTCACTACTTCTTCGTTGTCGGTCAATGAGACATACTGGGTACACGTGGTTTTGTACTCATACTACACTTGTTGCACTCTTTGTGGTGCAGATTCGATTCCGAGTAGGATCACATCTCGTGGAGCAAATTGAGTCCGAGCTTGGAGTTCTTGGAGTTGTGGTGAGCTGCTTGGCTGTTCCGTGGCCCACACCTCCCTCTATCTTTTATTCATTCTGTTATTAGTATTCCAGACAGGATATTCCTTATGTTAGATTTGTCATTTAGTTTCAGACTTGCATCGAATTTTAGAAGCTCTTGTACTTAAGACACCAATTCTTGGGGTGATATGTTTTAGCTTCCGCATTTCATACTTATAAGGAACTCAATGTTGGAGATTCTTGCTTAGTGTTAGTCTTTTACTCATTTGTTGGTTTAGTTGGGTTAATATGTTGGGTTGGCTTACCTATTGGTTGGGAACATAGGTGCCATCACGACTTGCAAATTTGGGTCGTGACAAAGATATTGTTTGACCCCTATTTTTATTACTCTATTATTTTGATAGAATTGATTTCTAAATCCATTTTTACTACAGAAAGAACCAATAACCAGATAAAGTGTAAGAGCTCCACCACACACATGAGAATGATAAAATAAGAAATATTATCACTGCCTTTGTTACTAAATGTGAATTGTTTGGAGTTTAACGCTGCATATCTAGCAACTGATAACTTATAGTGCAGAGTTTGGAGGCATGATCACGTAAGCAATTCTTTATTTGATTCTTGTATTTTCAAAATAATTAAAGTTGTTGGATTTTGATAACCTCTGCGTATGCTCTACCATCATCTTAAACTTGAACTGATTTCTCTTATTGTACATCAAAGAAGAAGAAAAGGATAATTTTTATTTAGTATTTGGCATACCACATGATAGCATACAACTTAACAAAAATACATTTCAATACTTGAAAAGAAATGTTAGTGTTCTACATTATAAAACAAGGACTAACTTAAGTTGTAGTCCAAGCTTAAGGATTGCCGTGCTCCTTTTCACCTATTATTTCTTATTTTAATTTGAATTACCAGTATGTTATAGGAGTTATCTAAGTGATTCTGCTTAGTTTTTTCTATTTTAGGGGCAGTTGTTAGCTAGCAGGAAAATAATTCTCAAGAATGCTGAAGGAAGAGTTAGACATTATTTTGCGACTCTCTTTTTGTGTATATTGAATGATGAGGTGTATGTACTATGATCCTCGTGAAGTATTATGTCTTGTCTACTTCATGTTATGGCTTTTGTTGATGAAAAAAATTTATATATGCATTTTGTTAAGTGGATAGTATATAGTCGCCACTATTATATACAGTTATTGTGGCAACTTTAATACTTTTCTGTGGCGACTTTGGTCACCACCAAATATCAGATTTCTTGTAGTGTCGAGAATCAATATCTCTGTGAAATGAATGACGAGTGTCTGAACCTACATCATGAAAGGATGTAGGAACATGTATCTGGGATACAAAATAAACCTCGCTCACCTCCCTCGCCTCTATCCCATTTCGCTCAACAGTCTTCTATGTATTGGGTATCTTAGATACGTGTGAATCACATCACATATATACAAATGCATGTATCTAATGTAAATCTAGTGTGGTTAACATGTATCTAAGTGCACTTTCCTTTAGTATATGGTAGGATGAACTTAAGTGATGGTAAGATGCGTAATATTTTAAAAGTACAGATAATAATAGCATAGTAGTGTAAAGTATATCTATTTATGTGATTTTTCCATTTTAATATGGAAGTAATAGATATAGGGTGGTCCTTTTCCTACAATCCTTTTTGTTAGTATAGATCATGTTAATCAAAAGAAGTAATGAGCATCTCACATTATAAGTGTTACCTTTGATCAATATGGTCCCAAATGTTATCAACTCGAAAACCTTTTCGCATGCATGCTATAGGAAGCTAAGTCATAGACATCGGGTGTGTTTTGGTAACTTTGAAAATGATTTTCGAAGGGAAATATATATTTCATCTGTCTCAATTTATGTGACACTTTTCTATTTTTGAGAGTCAAATAATATAAATTTGACCTGGAATATGCACACGAAATCTTCATTTTTCTTGAAATGAAAGTTATGTATTGGAAACTACGTAAAAATACTATAAGTCACCATAATTGACAATTCAAAATATTTAAAAGATATATGAAAAAATTACGGTCAAACATATACTTATTTAAATCTCAAAATGCAAAAATTACCACATAAATTGAAACGGAAAAAATATTTTTTAATTTCTAGAAAATAAATGGTTATCTTATATATTTTCTTTATGTTTAATATTTAATAAGTATGTAAAAATTGTTATCCTAAATGTATTTATCTTTATTAATCATGTAAATACATAGGTGTGGCTGGGGTGGGCCGAGGATGACAAGGGCTATGGTGAGAAGAAGACAAATACAGTGGAATGTAACTAATGAAAACAAAAGGTTGTTTTTTTATTTTTTTTTTAAAAAAAAAAATATTTTTCAAATTTTTTTGACGAATCAAACATTAAAAAATAATTGAAGTATTTTTCTTTCGTACCAATCACACCCTTCGCCACTGTTGGTTATATTTATATAGTAAAGGTGAGTGTATCAACTTGCATTTAAGTTCCACAATCCATTTTCATATATTGTAACGTGAAAGTAGTGGACCACACTTTTTTTTTTGAAAAAAAGAAAAGGAACTATGGAATGTGATCATCTACTAATATAAATCTTCATCAACTCAAGTGGTGAAAGAGCTCAATAAGATTGTGACATGTTGGTAAAACTAACATTTAGTTTAGTTTAAGTGTGTAAATAAAATATCGTGACAAACTGATATGCATTATATCTAATTAGGACTTAGGTAATTACTACCACAAATGTTATGTAAGTTTTTTGCGTTAGGTTATCACGCGATCATAGAAAATTGTTGTTATAAAATGTGAAATTTCATAATTTTTAGGTTATTTTAAGTAGTTGAGACTTTGTAGCTTGAGATGGATTGATCTTAAGGGGGTTTTTTCTATAAAGATTGGGTAAATAATTACTGATAAACCACTTGATTTATTTCTTAAACCGTTGAAAAATTGAAGTAGAAATTTGGAGGGTTAGAACTAAACTTTGGAGAGTGATTAATAAGAATTTGAGGATCGATTTGAAATCTAATCATAGAATTGAAATAGTGGGGATATGAATAACAGAGCTAATTTGGGATTTTGATCAGACAACTTAGGTGTGATTTTTGTTAATTTTGACCTAGATTATCACCTATTAAATTGTAGAAATTGATTCCTTTAACTTTGTTCAACATTCTTTGTAGTATAATTGACCCGATTGGATGCGCTTGAACATGAAAATTTGATTTTGAAAGGTTAAAATCTCACTTTAATCGAGGTAATTTAAGAGCTTAGCCTCAATATGAGAAACATTTTTCAAATTTATATTTCGTACACAACTTATAATGTGGGGATGGCGTAGACCGGGCATGATAAACATATATAAGACTAGCAAATAGATTGTAGCCTTATTCTTATAATTTGTATATGGCAAAAATAGACAAATATATTTCCAAACAATCATAAATGATATATAGATAT